ACAATATCGTGTTACTCACTTAGCTGATACGTACAACTGTCGAGTGCTGAACTCTACTGCTAGCCACTATTCATCCCTGATTGTAATGAATATGACTTAAGACAATATCGAAGCAATCCGCACAGAATGTACATATACCAATAAGAGACTAATCAATTGCAATCCTTAACATCAATGAGACGAATTAAACAACCAAAATAAAAACACATTATCAATATAAATGTTTTCAATGAATAATTCAATGATCTAAATCATAATTTAATTCTTAATCTTCTTTTTTTTATCAGCTACTTGTATTAATTGCGCATTTAAATCTGATCAAAATTCTAAAGAATATTCTCATAGTAAAAATTTAAAAAGACCTAATGTATTACGTATTCAAACGAATCAATTAAAACAACAACGTCAATCACAACGTGCTCTACGTCAAAGTGTACAATTCAGTTTGAAAAATATTAATTGGAGAAATCAAATAGATTTATGTACATTTCGAATATTGATTTGTTTATCATTTATGATTTATTTTGTAAATACATTTATTTATTTATAATAATAAACAAGAAATAAATAGTTAGTTGCTATGTGTAAATAGAAAAAAATTTTAGTTACCTACTATTAATATTTTTTATTTTTCTTAATTTTGGATACAAATAATTTTAAAAAAAAAAGACACAAACGCACACATACACACACACTTTTATTGTCTTACATATTTTTTTTTCTTGATTAAAGTGTTCAGTGAAATATGATGAACCAGTAGTACTTTGACAAATAAATAATTTCATGAAGGAATTTTCAAATTATAAACATGAAAGAATACTGATTGATTACTATTATACAATGTAGCTGAGTAATCGCTATTCGCGTGACTGAGGACTTCATAGATGAGATTAATATATTCCAGTGTATTTTCACTCAAGAAGTATGTTATCGGCAATTCTATTTTATGTACCATTGTTTATATATTAACTTCTGAACTTTGAATGTATAAACAACATGTTGACTGAATAAGTTATTAATTGGATTCTTTGTTTGTTTTGTTTACTTCATTTAATGGAAAAGAAATAATAAAGGTTTTATTAAGGGGTACTTTATAACTGAAAAACAAAGCCTAGAGATTGCATGGTCATGATTGACTTTTTAATGTAAGCTGTTTACTATTCAAAAACTGATATTAAGACTAAATAATTACTCACTTTGTCTACTGTAGTTAAATAAATAACAGATGATAATAAAAGATCAAAATAACAGACGAATAGATCAACTTAACTAAGAATTATGAATGAAGGATAAAAGAAATTCGATTAGAATAACAATTAAAATCTAAAAAACTGTGAAAGAAGTTTACAGTATCAATGAAAAAAAAACTTTATTCCTTATGATTTTATTATAGTCCTTGATTGGATGAAAAAGGTCTATCATATATACTATAGTCATTCAATCCTATTGTAAATCTGTATAAAAACCTGGCCACCTAGGTTAAACTGTTGTAATCTGTTTCTCATCATAAATCATGAACACCATATCATCTCCTTATTGAATGTCATCAAGCGATACAATTCAAGATAAAATGTCTGATATTACAAGCATGAATTAGGCCTGACGACTAGTTATTAATTGGTTGGAGAATGAGTTACCTACAAACTTATTTCCTACAAACATCAATGCCATTTTCTGTTAACATATTGTCATTTTATAATACATGAAAGCCCTATTCTTCAGGCTTGTGGTCGCGTCTCTGATCTTAAATCATTCAGAGGGTTACGTCAATAACTCAGTCACGTGAGTAGCGATTACTAGGCTACATCATATCATTGCATAACAGTTATCAATCAGTATTCTTCCATTTTCATAATTAAAAATCCCTTTATGAAATTATTAAAACTCTCCTTTATAATAATATTAGATAGATGGACTGGTCAATTGTTACCTCATTTTCATCGTAAATTTTACTATCCGGGTTACACGAACCTGGTTATAGTAACCAATACATTTAAGGTAAAATAATTACATTTAAATGCAGATTTATGAGGATTGAATAGAACATTCAACCTAAATAAGATTGTCATACGAGTAGAGCTATACATGGAAACCATTAATGAAAGAACAGACTTTAGTGTCAAAGATACAATCAGTCTGTTATGTTAGTTAATTTTGTATTTTCTGAAGTTTTAAACTGTTTTACGATCATGCAAAATGACGGAAGCTGATAGTTAACACTAAGACCGAAGGCATTTAAACTGATATAATAACAAATAAAATTCACATTAGGCAACGACTCCTTTCCCAATATCTTAGATCTTACTGAGAAGTAAATACAACAGAATACAACACCCGATTTATAGTAAAAAACGATTGATTTCGTAACAGAAATACAAACCTGTTTACATTTTTAAAACGCTCAAAATTATAACAAAAAACGATTTGGTGATTTACGCACAAAAAAAAACTACCACAGTGAGCAATTAGATATTACATTGGTATAATAAAAGCGTTTCAAATCAACAAAGCTTCATCTTACTAGACAATCGACAAATCTGTTATATAGCTACTCATCTATGTGCCATCAAAAATCAACTTATTTCATGGGATAGCCTCGATATTGAATATTCGCTACTTTATTTTTGTAGTGAAACCATAATCCACCAAGTAGCTTAACATGGCAATATCACCGACCGTTTATTCACCAAACTGCCTAACTTTAGTTTACAACATCAAGCGGCACCCACACACTACATTCAAAATAGACTCAGTAACTAAATTCTGCAAATATACAACTATGAGAACTTCAAATTTTAAATAAGTTCGCCGACACTGAATTATGTACCAGAAAAAGGGTTATTTTTAAGTTCTGACAACCCATGTATATTTCTTGACGCTCAACTTCATAATACGTACGTATTAAGGTGTGTACATAACTCTTTACGTGTTCATTTCACTTATCTGTCTAAACATCAATTGCAAACTAAATACAAACATGGCTGACGGTCACTTATGCGCACATTTGCATAGTAGAAACTAATTTATTCACTTTCTCTTACTCTGTCGCTTACGAACCATGTATTTAAAATCTATTGTCACATTTACTTTTTTCAATTTCTGGATCATATACAGTGTTAAAAGTTATACCAACAGAAAAGTGGACAACGGATGAAGGAAGGGGAAAATAAGCGTGCTGTTAGTTGTCACTTTCAAATAACTAGTCAGATAACCACATGTAAAATGATCCAGTAGCAAGATTTATGAATACGTAAATTATGTTGAAATTAGTTTTAAAAACTCTCTATTATCTTATAACGAGTGCATTCATTGTCCAAATGAAAAAAACACTATGAAGTGCAGTAATTAATTATTATTATTATTATATTATTATTATATATTATTATATTATCATATTATTTTACAACTAGAAATATGGCAATTTTTAAGTATCCCTAGACATCTCCACGCTGGAGCAAATAAAGTAAAACTTCCATCTTATCTCACACATTTGTGGTTAAATATAAAATAGTTGCTCACTTGAAGATCTAAATTGCTTTTCAGAATTCTCACTCAAAAACAAAGGAAACATATTTGGCTACTTATGAGTAGTGTAAATATCTGGTTTGAAAAGTTGCCCAAGAAAACATTCAACATGAGTGTTAACGCACCGGAAGCACAACGTAATCTTGGGTAGATCAACCAGGTTTATGGCGTTTATTATCCTGTTTCTTGAAACAGGACAGGTCAATTTATCGACTTAGAATATGCAGATGACATAGTTCTGTTTGGTGAAGACGCTGATAAAATGCAGATTCTCTTGGTAGCACTAAGCAACAATGCCAGAATGTTTGGAATACGCTTCTCTCCCTCTAAATGCAAACTGCTACTTCCGGACTGGTCTGCGTCAACACCTGAACTAAGGATAGGGAGTGAAGTAGTCGAACGCGTCGACAACTTCACTTATCTTGGAAGTCTGATCAGCCCTAATGGGTTGGTGTCTGACGAAATCTCAGCACGGATTCGAAAAGCTCGCTTACGTCACCTTTGGCGAAGGCGAGATATCCGTCTATCAATAAAAGGACGAGTATACTGCGCGACAGTCCGTTCTGTTTTAATTTACGGCAACGAAACATGGCCATTAGGAGTAGAAGACACTCGTAACCGACTAGTATTTGACCACAGATGCCTTAGAAATATTGCTGGCGTCTGCTGGGATCACCGAGTAAGTATTAGTGAGGTTAGACGCAGGGTATTAGGGAATGGTGGTAAATCGGTTGAGGAAGTTGTGAATCTTCATTGACTGATATGGTTGGGCCACGTGTTACGTATGCCTGAATACCGATCACCACGACGTGTAATGCTAACCGGTGTCGGGAATAGTTGGAAGAAAGTTAGGGGCGGCCAAACCAAAACGTAGCATCAGTACTTGAAGTCACTAACTTCTAGTTTGAGCCATGTTGGTAGATGCAGACTAATTGGTCGGGGTCCACGTGACTATCGTAACCAATGGTTGGAGACTCTTGGTGACATGGCTCAGAATCGATCACAATGGCGTAGGTGTATACACTCTCTGTCTTCTCTTAAACTAAGAGATTAAAATCGTTTCATATCTTTCTTTTTATCTACTAAGTCTTTCTTCCTGTACTATATCCTTATTGCAATCTTTCTTTTATATATTACCACCTCTGAATTAACTACTTTTACGAATCCGGTGTCCATCCTGTTGTGTTAATGAGGTATGGCAACCTGGACCGATGCATATATGTGCCTGGTCCTACGTTGTAGCTGACTGAGTGACTGACTGATAACCAGTCCGATAAACTTAAAGAGCATTCCTAGCTTTCATTAAATTATGTAGCTCATTCTATGTACAACACGAGTTCCTAAAATTTGTAACATGATCAAACTCACTAACCACGTTCGAAATCTTAGAACTGAAGAGCGTTAACCATATAAACGTGGAAGTAATAAAAATCGGGGCAATTGTACATATTGATACAGTCTATAACGTATTCATATGAGATAAAAAATTCTTTATTGAAAATCTAAGTGACGACTAGGAACTCCATTCATTTTGCAATAACTTTGTGAATCACAGTTAATCACTAAAATAGGTAGATACCATGAACAAAACTCGATAGTTATCCAGCACAAATTAGGACAAATCATCCCTAATACAAATAAATGGTGACTTATCTTAACGAAATATAAAGGCTACAAAAAAGCACTATAACGATTACCCAAATATTTATACGAAAGAATATGATGAACGAATATCAAAGAGCAAGATTTACAATAGGTAGATCTTAAAAGAATAATCAAAGTTAATGATTAGAATGACACAGTCAGCAGAGCTGGTAAAGAATAAATTATCATTTATAATAAAAGACAGACAAAATTGGCAAATAGCACACACTATGAAATCAGAAGCCAAGATTCAATGTGTTTCAATGAGTCTATTTGCACTCAACAGTGAAGATAATTAGAGAAAGGACATTGTCATGAAGACTAATGAATATTGTTCTAGAAACACTAACAGAAGAGTGACTGTGTGTAATTAAAAGGATAAGACTAAAATTTTAAACAAAAAAAAACGATGCTATGTAGTCGTTAACACCGCTATTATGTGTCATTGTTTTGTCTAGGTAGGTCGATAAGTAAGTAACAGAAGAAAAAAGAGATGAAGGTAAATGAAATCTTATAGATCACTAACACAAAAAGTAATAAATAAATAATTCTTCTGAGTTAGAAAGAAAACAAAAGAAATGAGAACATGATTTAATTAGTTAGAAATTCTTGTAACAAAGTTAAACGATGCTTCTCACAAATATCCATTTTATTTTGTAAATCTGCTCGATCTGTTATTTCAGCATGTTCTATTTTCCATGATAAATCTTCTACTTCCGCTTCTAATAAAGCTTGCTGATATTCAAATAACTCTTTACGTTCCAATTTTTCACCATAAAATGCATGAGGATAAGTATACTTTAAAGTATATCGACAATTTCTTAATGTATCTGCAGCAAGTAACAAATATTGCCAATCAATCCATGTACCTTCTTTTTTCAAAACTTTTTCATTAATACGCGTTTGGATACGTGCTCGTTGATCATGTTCTAATCGTAGGCTACGTTCATGATTTTCCCACTATCATATAGAATAAACAGTTGAGAAATAAAATCGGAATTATCAAAAACAAATTAATGAAGGCATTAGTGTCCAGTGAATCAAAATGGAGATTTATGAATGATCACGACAATAAGTAAAATTTAGATCGATAAGTAAACTAAATTGGAAAGGTCAGTTTTAAACTATTTACTACTGGTTAGTAATTAGTTTAGATGAAATCGTTTTTATCAGACAACTAATTTACTAATATAGTTAATCTGATTTCAGAAAAAAAGCAGTCGAGTATGATCAACGATTTACGACTACTTTCAAAACGACATTATAACTTATGAGTGGCAGATAGGGAGTTAGTTAATGGAAAAAAATCTTACGAGAAACATCAGTTGTTTAAAATTCCAGATATACATGCTACAGAATGCTAATTAGCACAAAATATAAGAGCTACTGGTTTCTTGCTTCCTGCTAAATAAGATTAAAATGACGAAATAATATATGAAAGAAACAATGATAATTAGCTGAACCTGACATGAGAAGCAGCATCTTACTACTTCGTACGTATATACGCTTCGATTAGGCTCAACACACTCCTAACAACTATCCATTTGACAAATGAGAGCGGGTTCGTGAGAGAACCTTGTTGGAGAGTCCATCTGCCTGATGTCTCCTAGGTTACAGTGATTTTTCAGCTGACTTTAGACCTCGATTTTATTCTTTTTGTTATTACTCATAATTATCAAATATCAGTAAAAACCAAGAAATTTAGTCAAAAACAACGTAGAACCTGCCACATGTGTACGTCGGTTAAAGTTCCCATACCAGATTAGCACAGAGAGAAGAAATTTTCACGCCAAATACCAGAATGGTAGAGGTAGTAACAGTATGAGTAATGATTGAAAAGATTAGGCGTCAAAGATACAATTCAGAAAAATATGAATTAATGAGATTTAAAAAGTATGTGAGAAATCTATAAACTTATGATCTAAGAGAAGACAAAGATTGAGGGCATCTGGGCCATTGAGAACGATTCTGAGCCATGTCAACCGAAGTCTCTAACCATGGAAAGTCAAGAACATACCTTACAACAGAGTGACCAAGGTGAACTAGTTGGACTAAACTTTGAAACATGTGATAATCAGTCTAGAAACTATTTTCTAAAATATTGTATAATGACATTTCACCAAAGTGTTAAACAAGTTGCAGAAAACCAACTAATTAGTTAACCTTTCCTCCTTTAGTTTAAATGGCCATGATTGGAACATCATAGATTAAATAAAGTCAACAACAAGGACTAGTTATCGTGAAATTGATTATTATCAACAGAATGACTATGGCGATTTCTCAAACTGAATTACCTGAGATGTACCAGGAATTCAGAAATATTTCAAACTGTTTACACACAACAGCGGATATAAACGGAGTAAGATTTTTATGACATTTTCTTAAAGCTTTGGTCTGTTAGAATTTGAAAAACAACATTTCCACTGTTTTTATTATTATCACTACTACTTAGACCACTTTCATGCAAATAATGTTAGTATGTAGGGGATGATACTGTGTCAAGCTCACACAGATTATTCTACCCTCTGGACAGATCAATCTATTCATTCTTCGTAAGCCACATTTTTACCCTATCACTTATTCGTTTATCAACCTTGACTACTTTTTATGTAAGCGTGTGTGCACTTCATATCTTACTCACCACATGTCTGTAACTTATTTTTGTCTGACTATATCGATTAACGCTGGATTAAATGAAGTTGGGTCACTCGCATTCATCGCGCGTCATTTCGCTTTGCTTCACTTTCCGATCAACGATTGTACGAAATATACGTATTCAAACCTCATTCGCGTATTTGACTTATCTGATTCCGTTAATCACCAACGCAATTTGAGTTGATGATGATGACATGTGTATTTCGATAGCAATCAGAAACAATCCAATTAGAGTCAGATAATCCAGGGCTACCAAAAGTACAATGGACACATAAATAGATATTGAAAACTATTCAATCTAAGTCGATAATGTTATTTAAAAGTTTTATTTACAGAGACAAACAAACAAATATATTGTACAAGCCTACATGCTAATACAGTTAGTGAATCTAAAATGTACACACAAAAAGGCAACATAAAGGATCTATTTTTTTAAAAAAACTGCACAAACGAACTTACTCGTTCATAATAAAACATATAGCGTTCCAGAGATTCACGTGCACGTGTTCTTACGGATTCTTTTGCAGAATCTGGATTCTCTTGATATTTGCTGCAAAAGTAGTATTCTGCATCGTGTGATTTCCAAACTTTTTAGACATGGAAATGGAAAAAACTTATATTACTACTATGTTAAAGAGAGTTGAGGCGTATATTTTTTACTTATATATGAAAGGATTTTATAAAATACTCCTCCTTAATACTAAATCCCTTACCATGAAAGTAGTAATTAACAGAAAGTGTATGATGAAGGTTTCTACTTAGTATTTCTTTTTAATTTTGTGTTGAGGTGATTTATGAATGTAGTGACAAATGTACAGTTAACGGCAGAGATTAAATTAGGCAACACCTCAGCGAAACATTTTTGCCACCATATTGCATCGTACTTGCAAACACGAACAAGACTTCTAGTAATATGCCAACGGACACTCCCTCTGCTTGTTGCTTAAAAGTACCAAGCAAACATTCCACTAGAACTATGCACTGTACAAAGATTTTGTAGATCACACTTTAAATGTTCGCTTACTATATTACAACAGCAAATTATCTATACTCGGTAACGAAAACAGAATTTCTTAAATGGATAGAACATTTGAATTTACTTAAATTCTTGTGGCTTGGTGGAGTACCAAAAGTCCCACAGCTAGAAACAACATATTTTGTCTACCGAAAATGCTTTCCTAAACCCGATAACCTGAATCTTGGGAATAGAAATAACATTATAAACAAGTCAATTATTAAAAGGGATCCAAAACAAAGTGAATTTGGTCCTCTGTCTTTCAAAATTACTAAGTTGACTGGCGATACCCGATTCATCTTCAGTACAATCGGAAACAAATCCAACTTGATAAAAAGACAGCTAAGGTTCTATTGTTCTTCTGTATCATAGTTTAAGGAACAATGCAGACAAATTATATAGTTTTACATGACAATTTGGATTCTTTTTGTAAAAAAAAGACGTGTTCTGCATGCCTATTTGTTGAAATTGTGCTTTGAAGTGTTTCTCTTCTACATTTTCTTGTTCTTTCTTTTTATTCAGAATTTGACATACACATAGTCAGACACACTGATCACAGTTTTTGTTATGGAATTTTCCCTCATTCTTGGAAACGAATGAATTCTTAAGAAAAGTTTGAAAACCAGGTTTTCTTAAAAGCTCCCCTTCCTGATGTTCTCCATGTTCGACTAGTTTTATTTTTAAACGAAGTGAGTAACTGTGTAAACTTCTTGAGTCCTATCTTATCGGTGATTTGATAGATACCAAACAATTCCACTTTGACAATATAAGATGTCAACATATTGTTGTATCTGAACAAGGTTTAATTTTACGATCTATTGGGACCCTAAGTTCATGATTTCCAGCTCAACGGTCATACTGCTATTTGCTACTGACTAGTTGAGAATTTTAACTTGTGTTCTTTCAATAACACTACTAATAGTTATAGTTGAAAGTACCTCAGCTTATGAAAGTAGCTATCTACTCTACCACATGCCAAGAATTTGTTATAGACCACCCACCCCCTCTTAATAAATAACCAATAGATAACAAGCACTAGGCAGCATACTTAAGTACAATGAATAACAGACATCCTATTGATTGAAATTGAATGATTTACTACCTTATGTACCAAAAAATTCTCTCTATTCCTTGGTTTCTCATCCGTACAAATTTTTCTTTATTCGTTAACCTTCTCACATTGGTTTATATTTATTTAATAGCTAAAATTATTATCAATATTATACTTAAGACTTAAGGTTTTCATTGACAAAAATAACTATGAAGCAGCTAGAAATACGTCGCAAATAAACAGGTGACTAATTACCACTTTTAATATCCCCAAAACACAAGTAGCAGAATATGTTCACTCAAAAACATGTAGACTATGAATTCGGTCTCACTAAAGTATACTTTATGAAACTACAACGAAACGATAATACAGTGTATCCTTATTTCCAATTATTCAAGGTAAGATTTCATTTCAACGTGGTAATTAAATTTAGTTCCCTGAAAGGTTCGTAGTTCAGTTTTACCACTCATCATTTACAGTACTAGTGTACGAGGGCACATTGAGGTAATATTAATTTCTGATACTTAACAAATACTATTTAATGCAGTTTGTATTTGTACAACAAAGTACAAAATAAATATATATTACTCACAGTTAAAGGTTATTTGTGTAATCTATTTTCTTTATACTGATGGAAAAATATGAAGTGGTTACAATGGCTTACAGTCAGTCAGGTTGATGTAAAATAATATTTTAATCCACCAGTAACATAACAAAGTAATATCTTGTTTCGTACTATGAATATAATTCGTTTATTAAGTCCAAGTTAATGTATCCGGCGTTGAGTTACACTGTTTGTTTGAGAGATAATGACATTATACCTGAATCCCCAAACTGAAGTGTTACGAGGTTCGAACTGACAACTTATTGAACAGAAAGTGAGTGCTTTAACCACTAAGCTACAGCCCCTTTTTTGAAATTTGTTATGAATCATTGAGTTAGACGAAAATCATATATGTTCACTGCATATATTAGCCCGATGTCCCTTGAAGTTTTATTTACCATAATATCCAGTTAACTGACGTATTTCCTATTCCATAGTTGCCGTATCAATTTTCGTCATATTCACTAGCTAAAAGACTATTTACTTAACTCCCATGTTTTAAAAGCTTTTTTCCTGATTTCGTTACATTAACTTACAAAAGAAAGTTTCAATGTTTGTCAGTAAACAATGTGGGGTCTGATGAATTATTTCTATTTACTATAGTCATCAATACCAAGTTGAAATAGACTAAAGAATTCATAGATTAACATTTAAAAAAGTATAAAAAAGAGATGGTTGTCATTCTGAAAAATCTACTTGAAATTATACAAGAAATCAGTTGAACAATGATGAAGCGTATCAATTAGACGTGACTGAGTACAAGCTAAATAAGTATGGTGTTCTTAATAGCCTGTTTTAAAATAATTCTGATTAAATATTTCTAGTGTCTGGAAAGCGCACACACACATCGCAATACATATAACGGTAATAAATCACATGAATGGAGATACATTATTATATGTTAAAATGATACAAAACTGAAAAACATAACAATGGTTTAAAAAAATCTACGATTACTACCAATATTAACAGTATTACGATTACTTACCGCCTAAACACACCCAGCAGAATTCATAGTGACAAATTGAGCATTTCTAAATGGTAGAAAAAGGTTAAACATTATAAAATTATTTCTGAAGAAAATACTCCTATAGTTAATGAATATGGACAGTTTTACATATATTTTAATCTCAAACCTTAATCTTTAATAATAAACTCTAGTGGTTAAAAACCTATAGGCAACCTAGAAAAGTTCATCAATTACGCAAAAGTAAAATATATTTGGAAAATTTTACATTGCATAAAATCTAAATAATCATATATTCAACTTTTTGCTTTCTAATTATTTGGGCGGGAAAAATTTTTTAAGATCATTTGAAGATGTATTCAAGTTCGTAGGTAGTCTTTAAAATAATTTGAAATCTTATAGCCTCGTTTTGTTCTTTTATAGTTCATTGACATGAAACGAAATCCTGAAATGCTATAGAAGTGTGGTATGCTAATTAATCAAGTCGAAACAACGACTCATATTACAGTAAACTAAAGTTACATATGAATTTTAATTTCTGAAGGCATCAATAATTCAGTATGATTTATATATACACAAAGTGTTACATATGAAAATGTAGCTCAAGCACACATCTACAGAAGGGTAAATAAAAGGACAAATTAAAAAAATATTGAGGGAAAATTCATGTTCAACTTATTTGAATTCGGAGTGAAAAGAATATAATAAGTATATCACTGAAAGACTTATAAACAGACCACAGCACAACTTTGAGAATGTACATTAGCTTAAAGGTAAAAACTGGAATATTTTAGCTAATTACGCTGATAATGCGAGTGTTTGAATATAAAACCTTTTTTTAAATATTAAGCAGTATACTGAGGTACTAACTAAGCAATTTTACTGATGACGTATGAACGAATGATCGCTATGCAAATAAGAATAGTAGCTAAACCATCAGACAAATGACTAGAGATCTTATAATTAAGCGGCTAATATCGGACTTCCAAATAAAAATAAGGAATAACTCAACAATTTGAGGATCTTCTTTCCTAGTAATGAAGTATAAGCCACAACCATTATCTGAGGACCGACAGTATTAGTTCACTATTCACATCTTGACGGGCGCAAAAAAGGTTTAAGTCCGTAACTTATAGGTATAGTTGAAGCAGACGAACTAACGATTCACACCTTAACAGAATACATTTCCAAATCCGCTTCATAGTATTCTACTTAAAATATATATCCCTAAATTAATTCCATATATATTCAACGATCGAATCCGATTTATAACAATGTGAACTCTAAAAGTCAAAATACTAATTACATAGAGGATACATCGATTTCAAGCAACTATATATATATATATATATATATATATATATATATATATATATATATATATATATATATATATATATATATATATATATATATGGGCAGATAAGGTAGAATAATTATGCCAACGAAAATAATTACAATAGGCCTGTAATAACAGTTATGAAGAAATGTATTTGGATACACGGTCATGAAATATTTGGTCGAATTGGAATGATACACTCTACTGTTTAGAAAAAACCAGGTTGCATAAAAGTGTGATAATAATTCTCAAAGTATATACACTAACAACACATTATTACAAGCTCCTAACCTAATACATTGTTAAATTTATTAACAATAATGTATGAAAGTGCCCGAAATTAGACCATATATATTACAATAATGTTTAAACTATATAACATTTGTTCTTCCTTACAATTTCCAAATAGAAAACATTTTACTTTTTTAAATGGCTCTGTTTACAAACAACTAACTGATAAGCCTTTGTCATGAGTTTGAGCATGCCAAATATACGTTTCAAAATATTATTTGGTTTAAGGAATCAATCCTGTGATATATAATCTCCTACTTATATTCACTTCTGATTTTTATCAACCTTATCACTAATCACGGAATGTTTTCTAAATTTTGATTATCAAACTGTGTTGTTTAACCTCTTTTTTTATTTTCGCATAAATAAAATTATCAACTGATGTATGATCACATTTTATAAAAAATCAAACTTTTTACTACCTTTTACTGTTGTTTTAGATAAACGAAGTGGTTTGAACTTGATAAGTTTTCAAATTGAACGTTAGATTCGGTTTCTAAGCTCTTCTAGTAACTACCAGGCTAAATCTACACAGTGACTTGAACATAAGCGAAAAGGCGCGAAATATGGAAGAAATGATTTACTCCAAAGGTTCTTTTATGTACAGAAAATCTAAGGTTTTTAAAGTATTTTAGATGACCTTGGGTTTCCGGAAAATTCTAGAACGCTACTAAACATAATAGCAGTATAGGTAATCATCCAACCAGAAACCCGACGTGTGACTTTTAACTTTCTAGATGTTTCTGGAAAACTTCTGGTGAGTGCTGATTGGATAGGACGCTTAGCGTTTTCAGAGCCTTTTTTGGCTTTTTTCGAGTGTTATTCTGGATCCCAGAAACAGAACTTTAATTGTGTCATGAAATAATAAAAGAGTAATATAAATTCACCTACCATATGATTGCAACCTTCATTTTTCTCGATACACACATGACATGATGGACAATCTTTTGTATGAGCTGTCATATAATTTGCTGTTCCTGAATCATCTCGACACTTAACAAGCCAGTGCTTTAGAGTTGCACAACTAGTTGGAGCATGATACGCTTCCGAGCACATAAAACAGAACTCTGCATGGCACCGCTCGCACTGAACACGCCGTGCTTTTGGTTCTTCAAGCGCACAAATCAAAACAGGACAACTCAAACCGACACAAAAACGTAATGATGGATGACTCTAAAATCATTGAAAAAAACGAAACGTTAAGTCATTCAACATGAAAATTAGAAATCTAAATAAAATGAATAAGCATTGGTTTGTAGTACTGCAGGCTCGATGACTTGAATTTATAACTACAACGAAAAGCTAAACGTGCTATGCAGTTTGTAGTTATGATAACCAGAAAATCTGGATTGTAGCTGTTACCTTGGCGTGATGTTCAGACTAACCTACAGCACTGACCCAGTCAAGCTACATTGACTAGAACATCTATTTCTTTAGGTCCTACCACCAAGTAGTTTAGTGGAGGAGGCGGTAACCCAAGTTCCGAGGGCGAAGCCGTACTGCGGACTATATAGAAGTATGAAGGCAGTAAGGAAGTCCCTACAGATAACCAGCATCTCCATCTGCTGCCTCCTTGCAATGGAAGGGTTGGAAAAGATTGACCCTAAATACGTCATACTTCATTTAATCCAACGAATTTTTTATCTCCGATAGTAAAGCCTTTTTCAATGACGGAGCTAATATAACCAAAAATCTGCAAAAAGTTCGCCCTCGATCGGTCTTAAGCAGTTGTACCTTGGGCTCTGTTACGCTCCTAGATCACTAAGACCACTACTAATTCAGTTTCATTTTCACGTCTTGAAAATATAAACCATCCTTCCATGGTGAAGTCAACAGGGAAGTGACAACCGCCCTAATACTTTTAACCGCACTCGAGATCACCTTGTTCACGAAAAAATCACTTCAATATTTCTCAGTACTTCTCCTATTCCCGTTATTAACCCTTCCCCTAGTACTTTACCGCCATGTACCACCAGTGTTAAGGAGATGAGTTCAAGAGATGTTATTCCTCGTCTCCTGAAACTGCACTACAAATTATATTTTGGAGTGTCCAACGTTCAAGCCTTGTGTCAGATAGACCAATAGGCTTCCTTGGCTAGTGCTCCATAATCTCGTCCTATCGATATGTTATCGCCAAAAGATGCACACATGATCCAAGTACGATTATTCACTTGAACTCACCTAATTAATACATAGAACCAGCCAAATCTATACACCATATTTCTGAGGATTTGACTTTCATTTCTTGTCGCATCGCAGGCGTAAGCATAGCAGTAGGTCTAAAAGTAGAACAGGCTCTCCTGGAGTATTAATAGCAGGTTACCCACCATTCTAAAACAATCGGGATGAGATTGAAATAAACTATTCTTTCCTTAATGAAGTTGAAAAGTTTATAGCTAATCTAACACTAAGGACAGCAGAAAGTCCTGAAGAATTAACCTCGAAGTACTTTAAGTATGGTGATCCAGTTTTTGCAGTTAGATTACCTGAAATCTTAGCTAAAACCTGGAAACTGGACGTAATCCTATCTGATTAGTTTCCATCACTGGTTGTCCCGATATTTAAGAAAGGAGAAATAACCCTTTATGGTAACCGTAGAGGAATCAGTTTAACTAATATAGTACACAAAATATTTGCTTCAATAATCATCGGACACTAAAGTAAGGCTTGTGTAGAGTAAACTCAAGAAAACCAGGCTGGTTTCAGATCTGAATGTGGATGTATCGTCCGAATCTTCACTCTTCATTAGGTCTCAGAACACAGATATACTTTTCCAAATTCGACCTTATGGCAGAGTTTGACTGTTGATCGAGTCAGCCAGTCACAACGTAGAACCTGTACGTATGTATATCGGTCCAAGTTGCCATATCCCATTAGCACGAGATGAAGTTATCAGACCAAATCCCAAAATAGCAGGAGTAGCAGCAATATCAGTGGTAAGAAGAAATATTAAGCATCGGCGATGCGACTCAAAAAGAAAATATAAACTAGCGAAATAAAAAAAGTTGTGAGGAATTTAGAATCTCATGATCTGCGGAAAGGTAAGGAGTGGATGCACCTGCGCCATTGCAAATAATTTCGAGCTATGCCACTCAAAGTCTCAACCCATTGGTTACAACAAATACGCGGACCCCGACCTAGTGGTCCGTACCTATTAATATGGCTAAGTCTATGTCTGTCAACATAAGTAGCACACACCATAACACATTTCCCAATCACATCAGTTGATGATGATTTACTACCTATCTCATCAATCGTCTAACCATCCTTGCCTATTACTCTATTCCTAACCCAGACACTTCTTACTCCGTGATCCCAAAATGTATGAACAATGCCTTGAAGACACCTATTATCGAATACCAGAAACATACAAATATCCCCTACTCTTAATGGCCATGTTTCACATCCATGAAGGAGGATGGAGCAAACGGCTGCGCGGTAAACTCCCCCTATGGTTGGAAGACAGATATCTCCTGTACGCCACAAGTGACGCAAGTTGGCAAAAGCCAATAGAGCTTTCTGAATCCGCGCTGAGATTCCGTCAGACACCAAACTATTGGCATTGATGAGACTCTCAAAATAAGTGAGGCGTCAGATGCTTTCAATTACTTCACTCCCTATCACTAATTCAGGCGATGACGCAAGCCAATCCTGAAGTAACATTTTACATTTGAAACAGCCGTTTTATTGCTGGAGGCGATCAGAAGATTGCATTTTGTCGGCGTCTTCACCAAAGAGAAATACATCATCCGCGTATTCGAAATCAACAAGTGAACCTCCTGGTAGACGAACAATCCCTGAAAAGTCAGACGACGGAAGTGTCATCTCCAAAAGCATGTCTATGACAAGGTTAAATAAAAATGGAGGAAGTGGACAACCATGACAAACAGTACTTAAAGTAGCCAATTGCGATGGCAGTTCTCCATAAGCTCTGGCCGGACAGGAATTGTTCGAGTAGAGAGCCTGTACAATGTTAATGTACTTCATTGCTACACCTTTCAATGACAAAAACTGCCACAATCTCCTGCAGGCTTTACCGCTAGAGACAAGAATCCGCCGGGTAAGGTGAGGTGTGACATTTTCAGGGCAAATTTTTTCTAACCCCTTCCTTCTGTTGTGAGAAGGGAGAATCGATGCAGGTGATGGTTGTTCGAGGAAGACACCTTACTGCCGCCACACATCTGTACAACCAGTAGTACATCGTTCTCGAGCCTTCGGATGGTGCTTTTAGTTTCACCGTTCTTCAACCGACCTGCCTAACATGGTAGGGCCCAAATGAAAATGTGTTTTAGCCAATATAGTTCGGTTAAGCCATCATGATAGGCAAACCTGACCACCACATCAAGGTAGCAGGTACGATCGCGTGTTGATCAAGAGGTTCTGTAGTAGCGCCTATCGCTAAAAAGGATACCAAATTACATCAAATTTGTACAGGCCATAATCAGTCACTACTGGTCGAGTTGAACCTTGCAATGAACTCTCATCAGAATAGTCAACCGTGAGTGTTCGTCAGGGTAGCCCGCTCTCCATTCTTATTCAACCTCATCATGGAAATTGTCTCAGGGAATTGTTCTACCAAAAAACTGACTAGCCAACTTGGAATACACAAACGACAGTTATACTGTGTGAAGACGCTGACAAAATACAAAATCTGATCGTATTGAGCAACAACGTATGTTAATGTTGGGGAGATCCAGAACATTCCTCGAAAAAAGTTCGGAGAGGCTCTGAAAACGCTGGGAAATATTTTATCTAACCAGCGTCGAGTAAGTTTCTCAGAAACACATGGAAAAAGAAGTTACGTGTCATATTTTTGATTGGATGATTACCTACCCTGTTACTGTATTTAGTATGGTTGCAGAACCTTGCAGAAGTCTAAGGCCGTCTGAAATGATATAAATACCCTCGATTTTTCGTAAACAAATGAAAATTGAAGTAAAGCGTTCTTTCCACATCTCGCGCCTCTTTTGTCCTGTTCAACAGTCAGTCAGTTAGCTAGCTACAACGTAGGACCAGGCACATATATGCATCGGTCCAGGTTGCCATACCTCATTGGCACAGCAAGATGAACACCGGACTTATAAAAGTATTTAATTCAATGGTGGTAATATATAAAAGAAAGATTGCATATCACGACATAGTACAGGAAGAAAGACTTAGTAGATAAAAAGAAAGATATGAATCGATTTTAATCTCTTAGTTTAAGAGAAGACAGAAAGTGTATACACCTACGCCATTGTGATCGATTCTGAGCCATGTCACCAAGAGTCTCCAACCATTGGTCACGATAGTCACGTGGACCCCGACCAAGTAGTCTGCATCTACCAACATGGCTCAGACCAGAAGTTAGTGTCTTCAAGCACTGATGCCACGTTTTGGTTTGGCCGGTCGTGTAGATTTAGCCTGGGGGTAAGAAAAGCTTGAGAAACCTATTGAAGCATTTAAACAGAAGATTTATCAGTTTGGGATCGGTTTGCCCTCCTAAATATTGCCTGAAGACTGGTCTGTATCAACGCCTGAACTAATAATAGGGAATGAAATAGTTGAAAACATCAACCACTTTACTTGCTTCAAAAGTCTCACCAACCCTGATATGTTGGTGTCTGATGAAATCTTGACAGATTCAGAAGACTCGGTTACCTTTTACCGATTTGAGTCAAAGGTAACGTAGACCAGATGTCCATCCGTTAACCAAAGGTCAGTCAGTCAGCAACAACATAGAACTTCGTACGTACGTGCATCAGTTCGAGTTGCCATACTGTGGTGTGTGCTACTTATATTGACATAAGTAGTATATGATGCTAGTCGTGAACAGAAGGTCTGACAGCAGAGAGACAAGAGGATCGAACAGTAAAGAATGGAAACAGGATTCAATTTGTATGAAAATGCAAGAACAATGAAGTCTGAGTCATTTTGAGACAATTGGTGGACATTTTGCAAATTAAGCATTTACTTTATGATTGTTAGATTTTAACAAGTCCTGTAATTTTATGTTAAATACATTCGATTGTCCCCACTGGTGTTCTTGTTCACTACAATATCACATTAGCACAGAGATGCAATTGTCGATCCAAGTCCCATAGTGGTAGAGGTAGTAAAAGTATGAGCATTAATCGGAAGCATTAGGGTTTAAATGTTATTCAAGCAGTATAATCCAATGAAATAAATTTGGAAAGAGAAAAAAGAAAGGGACATGAAGAATTCAGAAGATTAGGATTTGGGAGAACACAAAGATTGGATGCACCTTCACCATTGCAAACGATTTTGAGCCATGTCATTCAAGGTCTCTAACCATCGGTTGCTGTCATCTCGTGGATACCAACCAGGTAGTCTACACCTACCAACATGGCTCAGTCCAATTGTCAATGATTTCATGGATTTTTGCCATATATATATATATATATATATATATATATATATATATATATATATATATATATATATATATATATATATATATATATATATATATAACCAGGCGATATAACAGGAAACTAGAAAATAAAGGACCTGAATAAAATAACGCAGAATCCTGAGAATATGCTTACTGACCTTTAAACACCAAAGAAGCAGAAAGGTCAAGAGAACCAGGAAAACGTATACAAACGAAAAGACACATAAATGAAAGAGGCCACTAAAGCAACTGACATAACGAAGGTCTGACAATGTTGTTTAGGACAATAAGGAAAACTCTGCAATTAAACCAACCAGATCACCGAACTCAATAACACCACAGACCGATAAATAATTAAAGCAATGAGATGTCTGAATTGTGCAGCAAAATGAAGAATGACAGCATCACAGATAAGACTTGTTTTTAGTCATGTTACTCAGCCCGACCGTTGCTGCTACCCTGAAGTGGTGATCGGGCTTGCCTATCGTGATGAACTAATCGGGCTACACTGGTCGGAACAATCATTTCTCAAGGCCCTATCATGTCAGGCAGATCGGTTGAAGAACGGTAAAACTAAAAGCAGTAAACCCAAGATCCGAGAGCGAAGTCGTACTGCTGACTGTACAAAGGTGTGACGGCAGTAAGGTGTTTCCTTCGGAAAATTAGAATAACAACGATGCTACCTTCCCACAAAGGAAGAGTGGGGTTAGAAAAGGTCGACCCTAAAAATGCACATCCTGCCTTATCCAACGGATATCCATCTCCGGTGGTGAGGTCTCAACAAGTAGGCAGTTAACACAGAAATTACCCACCAAAAGGTCGTGTGTGACCGACCGTAAGTAGTTGTCTATTTAGGCACTGAGGTCACGCTCACAGGTCACTAAGATCAACTCTAACCCAATTTCTTTCCCAGGTATCATGTTGACAGTTAAGAATAATAGAATAAAATGCCTTACCTCAACCATACGTTGAAACAGTAGATTCAAATATTTGTCTTTTACAGTCGGATTTTTCAACAGTGTTAAAAGGAAATCTTCGATCACTAAAACATTACATCCAACCGACATACATTTAATTTCAATACTAGAACCTTCTTCTATTTTAATTGTTAAATATGAACGCCAGCAATCTGGACAAAATCTATGTCCACAAGAGAGACCGTAGAGACCATTCATTTTATTACTGGTTAGGAAGTCACAACTTTTATCATGAGGGTTATCTGACCAAACATCTAAGACAGTGTTGTAGATATTATTATTATTAGTAGTAGTAGTAGTAGTTGTTGTTGTTGTTGTTGTTGCTGTCGTTGTGGAAGAAGAGGAAGAAGAAGAATGGGAAGAGGAGAAATGAGTTACGCCGGAGGGGAAAGACGAAGTGCAATTTTTTGAATTCCCTTGTTTCAAAGGAGTTGGACTATGAAGTAGTTGTAAATCTGATTCATTGAATATATTAACTGGATTGTCCGTCTTATTTGATGGAACTGTATAACATATTTCACAACAGGAGTCTAGAGGATTATAACGTATAAAGAATAAAACTGTATAAATAACCAATAACGGTAATAGAAAACTAGTGAAGTACTTTGATGAACCAAAACTTAACCAAATATATTTCCAACATTAGTTGAATATCAGGCAACAATTAGCAACCTTGAGCACACTAATACACCATATTAATCAAGATTTGAAATGTAGTAATCAACCTGAAAGACTGTAGTTTGGATTCTAGTATATCAGCTCAAAGTTGCAAATGTAGGCTTAGTGCTTCACATGAATCGTAAGTAAAACGTATGTATGACCTCAAGAAAACTCATGCTACAATTGAAACCTAAACTTTTTACCTTCATGGTTAAAGAAAGCGAGTTTACCTCTTGTCCAAAAAACCTATTCATCTGGTAGAGGAGAAGCATATGCAGTACTTATAACAATAATCATAATTACAGCATTACAGATACATATATTAAGTTTTGAGTAACACTTCCCATGAGAGATTTTATTGAGAGTCTCGGATCCAAGTAACTCTAACAAGATTCAAACCTAAGGCTCAACGATTAAAAAATCACTTAGTGATTCCTACATACTGGCCTCTAATACTTAATAGTCACGTTTTCAGATAAAGTGGCCATCTTGGTTATTTTAGACTGTTAGGTACATTATAAGGTATATTAAAAGACAGTGCTTTAGTATTAACTGCCTCATAAAAGTAGGTTACAACCACACATGGCCCTCGTCCGGAAATGGGAGAATTTAATTTAAATTCTTCCGGACAAGCCGATTTTTACAAACCTTTCCACCAACACCGGAATTTTGTACAGTACGAATGTTGTATCTACGGTCATGCCTTCCACATCCGCCTTTTTAGGCAGCTTAATAGCAGTAATTTGTTAATGGCAACTGTCAATTTTCAATAAATTTGAGTCTAGTTTTCAAGAATACGTTTCGTTCATTATTTCAACTCAATTTGACTCGATAAAAGTATAACTCTCCTTGTACCAATCCTTAGAGTGAACGATAGAGTGATAAAACAACAATTTATCATAATTATGCAAACGAAGTAAAGTTTCAGTTCAGCAAAAACACTCGTTTGAACACTAACATTGAGACAGAAGGGCAGAGAGCTAGACTTCAGTTAAAAAGTTCTGGAACATATCTTTAAGGAAGAGGCATGATGGATAGAAACACTTAATAGTGAGATCAAACATAGCCTTCATCTTAACAATTATATTTAGCAAGCGAAAAAATTCCTGGACAACAATAAAAAAGTCAGTCATAAATTAAGTACAAAAATATAAATAACCTGGAGTGATTTTCGGAGGAAGTATGTATGAGACTACTTGAAAATTGAAATTTTGAATCGCGTGAATAGTAGCCATTACTGCTTGACTATCACTGGAGCTGGATTGTATATTAAGACTTGGGAGTATATTGTGACTAATTAACGTGAGTAAAGGATGGGTCAAGAACTTTTTCTTGATTGCCTCCACGTCCCATCTATTATTATGTAACAGCAAACGAGCTATGGCTGGTGGCACCTGAAATCATTCAACAAGATTTATGTTTGGTTTTACTTTTTTATAATTCAAAGGAAGTGGTATAATGGGGTACTGAAGAATGCGCTACATGGAAATAAGTAAGTGTTGTACAGAAGAATAATAATGATAATAAGAATGAGTATAAAAAACAGGCTTAGAATAAGAGCACTGGCACAATATATATTCCTGATAAGTATATTTACTATTTACTCACTTAACAGAATAAAACTGTAAAATGATTACCTCTGGTTCCTATTTCGAAGCATATATTTCAAGTTACATACAGCCCAGGAAAAGGTGTGCTGACAGACAATAACACAAGGCTTATTCTTTAGTGAAGAAGAACATCGAACGGACAAGTGATTCAACTCATAAAAATTAAGTATTTACATTCAGACAAGTGAACTTGCAGGTATATAGTACAATTCATCAAAAGAAATTGTACAACTACGCTTTTAAGCCAGAATTCACAGACAGTAACAAAGATGTCTGTAGCTGGCATAAACCTTTCTATGTAAAAAAAATTAAATTCCTCAAAAGAAGCTCCGATTACTGTGTATTACGAAGCAAAAGCAATTAAGCTCTTTGAGCGACTAGATGTCAAGAATGAGCCGTCTGTTTCTGCGATTTTTTAAAAGTGCTTTACACTTAAACACTAAAGGAAAACGATAGTAAAAATCAGTCTGCGAATTATGTAACCTGAATGGTGCCAGGCTATAACGAAACACCGATCTTAAACTTCAAGTAGAAAAACCTTTTTCCAGGTACTGTACTACTGGGTACATTTTTCAGAACCGTACTAGAAGTCTCACTACGACGTTATACGTCTTTCCTGAGTTATTTTTGAGTAAGTCACTTATTTCCATCAGAGCAAACCACTTCAGAAAAACATGAACTCAAAAATTCTGAAACTGCGCAATATATGTGTTTACGCATTTAATTACATAAAATATTAAATTAGTAAATGATCACGTCAGAACTATTAATTTCTTAAAAGTCAACTCTGTTTAGACTTTAAAATTCTAATGGTATCTCAAGACCCGATGCTGATGAGGTACAAGACACTGAATAACGTCGATCTTCACACATTATTATTTGGACTCTTATTGAGACGACATGGACTGACTAGGAGAAAGGAACGGAAATGATGATAGATTTGCAAACTTATGTGCATTCTACAAAATGGTTATAGATAGCACAATATCCCCACACAAACGCATACACAAAGCTTCATAGATCACACCGGATCACACCACGGAGAACCAGACAGACTGTATTTGTATCAATAAAAAATTCCGAAGGACAATAGATGTGAGAACCAGGAGAGGCGCTGAAATGGCTTCAGATCACCACTTTGTTGTAGCCAAGAGAAGCAAAAGAAACAGTGGACAACTGGAGAAACAGCATTACAAAGGTTCAATGCAGCCTTACTTCGAGATACTGACAAACTCAACTGACTTAAGATAGCCCTCAACAAGAGGTTCCAAGCCTTACAGGATATACTGAAACTACTATGGAGGACAACTGAAAAGGGATCAAAAAAGCGTTAACTCCAAAGTGTCAGCAGGTTCTGGGCAACAAGAAGCATCATCATGAGAAGTGGATCTCTAGGGAAACCTTGGACAAGATTCAAGAAAGGAAGAACAAGACAGCAATTAACATCAACTGAGCAAGAACAGAGAACGTCAAAGCACAAGCTGAGTACACAGAAGCAAACAAGCAAGTGAAGAAGAGCATTAGAGCCGACAAGCAGAAATACGTGGAAGAACTAGCAACGACGGCAGAAAACAGCTCCAAGAGAAGGAAATATGAAACAACTATATGATACAACGAAGAAACTAGCAGGGAAATGTGGAATCCCTCATGTATCTGGGTAGCATCATCGATGAACAAGGAGGATCCGATGCAGACGTAAAGGCGGGGATCGGCAAACCAAGAGCCGCATTCCTACAATTGAAGAACATATGGGACTAGGAACAACTATCAACCAATACCAAACTCACAATCTTCAATACAAGTGTCAAGACAGTTCTACTGGACAGAGCTGAAACTTGGAGAACTACCACAACCATCATCAAAAAGGTAGAAGTATTTATAAACAATTGTCTATGTAAGATACTGAATATCCGTTGATCGGATACCATCAGGAATAGTCTACTGTGGGGGAGAACAAAGCGGCTTCTGACTGAAGAGGAGATATGGAAAAGACGTTGGAAGTGGATAGGACACACATTGAAGAAGTCATTAACCTGCATCACGAGGCAAGCGCTAACTTTTAATCCTGAAAGGAAACGGAAAGGAGGAATACCGACGAGCACACTGCGTCGGGAATCGGAATTTGACATGAATAGTATGTATATCAACTAGAAACAATTAGAAGAGATTACCCAGGACAGAGTTGGATGGAGAATGCTGGTGAGCGGTCTATGCTTCTCTATGACAAGTAACAGGTGTAAGTCTTATTAACGATGGTCGAGGTGGTCTAACAATGAACATTTCGTTACATTCCGATTAGTTTAATTAAACTTGATAAGCTATCAAACACTAAATGGACAGACAGTAAACCATCTAAATTGGATTTTTTATTTCAGATTTCTGTTTTGTCAAAAAAGTTTGGATAATCCGATCGTGAGGACGAAAGAACAGTCGACTTTAGTACTGAAGTATGTTACAGTGCTGTCATCCACCTTGTATCCTGTTACACATCCAAAACTACCGACCTCTATTCCAAAGCAACTTATAAAACTAATTGAGGCAATAACGTTTTATTCCGTTTGTGTATAAAGTTACAGTCATAGGACCATTAATAATTTCATAATTCTAACTGTGAGACTGGTGAGGTTAAAATATTGTTGATACAAAACGGGTCCATGTAACTGAAAAATCGACATTTTCGATTGACACAACGTAAGCCTATAATAAACATGACACAGTCGAAAGCAACCATATTACTATGGATTAATAAAGTTATTAAGGCAAACAGATCGACTTATGACAAGACTCAGTAAAATAAATCGTGTGCCAGATTACTGTGGTATGCTATTCACTGATGAAAGCTACGAAATTTGAAATAGACCACGTAACTAGGATACCCAGAGGAAGTTCTATTGTCTTCTAAGGATTTTACAATGACGAGCTGTTGTATACCAGAAGCATAACATTACTCTGGAATTATACCATCTCTAAGATTAAAATTCTGTAAATTATGTTGTTAATGATTTCCAAAGACCATTCAACAGTACTGGATCATGTTTTTGACAACCTTTCTATGTTTGAGCAACGCGCAAAACGAAACATACGTTGATTAAGTTACACAGGGTATCAACTGTGCTGTTCAGGAAAATTTCAACTTCATTCCTTTCAAAGGCTTTGTACAGAAAAGACTCAGGATGAAGTCTGTCGGAACAAAACCTGAATGTAATAACATAAACAATGAAATTTACCCATACCTGTCACCCTCCACATCATATTCCGGCTCCATATAATTGTAATCGTCTGATTCATCTGAATCATATGACTGGTCATTGTTTTCCTCCTCCATTCTAAAGACGGAGCATTAAACAGTGAGGACTACCATTTCGACCTAGATTTTAGAAAGAACCGCTTCTTCTACAACAACCTTCGAACACTAACTTTCAGACGTCAAACTTATATAGACAGAAATAGACAATCTATTGCTTTTTAAGATCTGTGTTTGGGTTAAAGAAGGTAGTCCCTAGTAACAGTTGAGTATAACTCGTGTTTAATTTCTTTACTGCCTAAAGAGTGAAGACAGTTATTATTGTGAGGAGTAATTGAGTAGTATTCCTTGATCGGTATTCAACTAAAGAAAACGACAAGAATTTGTGTAAATCCGGCGAATGGCAGCACCAACGTAACTTGTAGGAAGTTCCACAACTCATAGATATTAATCACGATTAGATTTACACAAATTCATATATGTGCTCTTTCGTGTTCAAAGCTTAGGCTTACTTTTAAGTAAGCTTTTAAGACAAAGAGGATTGTGAATAATATAAAACATCATGACGGTAATCTCGATATCTTTCTGTGCTGAGTATTGTACAAGTTTAACACACTTAAAGTTGTTAACAGTTAGTAAGTTTCAGATGGTCCGATCATTTGTTCCACTCATGTCTTCTAGAAGATGTAAGAAATATTAGAGGCTTCGTATCGTATTCTAAATTTGAATATCGTTTGAAAATAGAAGAGTCTGGAAACTCATGATGCTAAGCAATTGACTGCTAAAAAATTAAAAAGATCAACTGAGATTATGAACCAACCAGCATATGACCATCATTGAAAACCTGGAAACACTGAACGTTCATTTCGTTCTACCATGAGATTCTTCTGAAGTGCACACCCATGACTATAAAAGCCGGACTCGAACTCTTAACATACAATAAAAAAGGAAGTGGCTCAAACAAAACATAAAGTAGTACTTTGGTCTTCACTGTTAGCCAGAAAGATGAACCAGGGGTACATCTGGTATTTTTTAATCTTCTAATTAATTAGTTCCATAGTCACTTCATTAACCACACACTGATACCTACCGATGTTATTTTAAAACAAAGAATTCTATAAAAACCTTTCAAACGGGTTGAAAAAATCCTGACAGCCTGAATTAACAGTATGATTGTTCGCCACCAAGGGTTTTCGGCTACGAAAGTAGTCAGTAAGTTCGCCCTATAAGTTCTACTTGTAGGAGAATCGTGTTCATAGTCGGAAAGAACACGTTCATTTGGAGGATGGTCTCGTAACATTTTATACAGGACCTTCGTTACTGAAAATGCAAGCAAAAGCTACCGCCCAGTTGCTCCGTAAGAATACGAGTAAAACCATACCTCTCTTGTAGTCAGAATATAGTTTACTCCCAACTTGACACTTAAAGAATAGAAGGGGGGTAAGAAGGATGTATGCAAACAAGTGGAAAGCAAATTATGCATTTACAGTCAATTCTTTTCAGAATAAAAACGAATTTGTCACATTATACGACGATGCACCAATAAAGCTGATAATCACTTGCTGCAAACGCGAAGTACGATCAGTATTAACCTTCAAACGTATTTCGACCCTAGCATTTTTATTACGGCCACCCAACATTAAATAACCATCCTGTAATTCAAAGCCCCAATACTCTAAATGCACTAATCCGATCCATCCTAACTCTGAGATTGGTATGCCCAATCGTCTCGGATTGACAGTGGTGAGCCTCAGGGAAGTAAGTAAATCGGTGCATCAAGTGACAAGGGTTTCAGAAAGAACATTCTTATGAGGACCAGAAAACTATGGAAACAGTTAGAGTACCCCATAGCTTGTTCGATAGTCATTTCCAGAACGTTTGACCCTTTAAAATTCGGAGACCCTAGTTACAGACTTGCTAAGAAACATATACGCATGAGTTGGAGCATTTGAAAGGAAGGTTACGGGGGAATAAGACTTATATACTGCAAGTACATTTTGAGAACGGTTTGGTAGTACTTGTATGTGATATATTACTTTGTCAGTTTTCTACTGAATTCGAGGTGTAGCGAGAAAAGTTTCATGTCTCGGCCAATCGTCGAAATCCACTAACTGTGCATTATACGAGATTGAGTAGACCTGAACAAACCACTCCATAGTTGGGGCATATCCACGAATTTGTGGTGGAATAGCACGAACAAATAAATTTGTACAACAATTCCAGCTAGCCTTCCTATCTAATCATATTAATAAGTTTTAGCAACAATACGTTCTCCAAAATCTCTCAAGGAACGATGTGACGTTTTTTATTTATTCAAGTACTAAGGGTTATTACTCTAGGTTGTACTTCAGGGTAATCCCGACTAAATAAGTAATCGAAAGCCCGCAGACACATCACTCCTCATGATGTTAAGCATCAGTTCACCGATAGTGGATGGCCAAACAAGTTTATTTACTGATGACCCTAAGGTGTTACATGTATCCCACCTTATCCCCAGTCTCAACATTTTACTTACTTACTTGCTTACGCCTGTTACTCACAATGGGGCATGGGCCGCCGACCAGCATTCTCTAGCCCACTCTGTCCTGGGTGTTCCTTCCTAGTTCTATCTGTTTGTTTTTCATTCTTCTCATGTCTGTTCTTTGTTCTTCACCTTCACCTTCGGCCTTGGGGATTCTATGTGAGGGCTTGTCTTGTGACGCTGTTGGGTGCTTTCCTCAATGTGTGTCCATTATAGAATTATGGTCTACAACAAGGAAGTCACATCATTGTCTACACTGACTCATAGTACCGTAACAATTACCAATATATGATGGAGAACACATTCAGGTTGGAGACAGAACAATATATTTAATATGAGTAAAAGTTGTGCAGAGAGATCACGCCTGCGAGGCTGACTCATGCCATCCGATCAATTTGAATTAATTCGATCAATTGTTCCCGCCTTATCCATTGTCAGATTTTTCTCCGCGTTAAATGTTGAATATCTATTTCCCCAATTGTCTTGTGTTCAGCTTTGAGGATTGTGCAGTTAGGGCCCAATGCCACTACACGATCCACTTCCAGGGCTTCTTCCTAATTTCTTCCTCCGTTAGGATATGCTTTGTTCTCTTCCACAGTTGGCTGTTGCTGATAATGTCTGACCCATGGACTCAAAGTATTTTGTGTAGACAACTTTTAGTAAACACTTGTACCTTCTGGATGATGGCTTTCATAGTTCGCCGAGTTTCCACCTCATACAGTGGAACTGTCTTGACATTTGTATTGAAAATTCTGACCTTGGTGTTCGTTGACAATTGTTTTGAGTTCCAGATGTTCTTCAGTTGTAAATATGCTTCTCATGCATTGCCGATCCGCGCCTTCACATCTGCATCAGATCCACAGTGTTCGTCAATGATGCTGCCCAGATATGTAAGTGTTTTTATACCCTTCAAAGGTTCCCCGTTAAGTGTGATTTGATTGGTGAGTGTTGTGTTGTCTCAGAGAATCTTGCTTTTCCCTTTGTGTATGTTGGAACCTACTGCTGCTACACTGGTCTTCTTCTGCATTTGTTGTTGGGTAGGCGATGGAAGAGCCGAATCATCTGTGAGGTCACCTGCTGATCTCTTCAAATGCTGGCAGGCCAACATCGATTGGAAGGTTCGTGGGTGCTACTTCGATGTTTGGTGGGTTCCGTGGAACTGATCAATTCAAGGGTCCCTCGAAGTGCTCTGCCCACTTGTTTCACTGTTCTTTGATGTTGGTGATTAATTTACCCTCCTTGATTTTCACTGGTCATTCTGGTTTACGATAATTTACACCGAGTTTTTATGTTGTATCATATAACCGTCTCATGCTTTCTTCTCTTGCAACCTTTTCCGTCGTCATTGCTAAGTCTTCCACATATTTACGCTTGTCGGTTCTGATACTCCTCTTTACTTGATTGTTTACTTCTGCATATTCAGCTTCTGCCTTGGCTTTTTCTGCTCTTGTTCGACTGGTATTGATTGCTGCTTTCTTGTTCCTCCTTTCATGAATCTTATCCAGTGTATCAACAGTGATCCATTCCTTGTGATGATGCTTCTTGTGGCCCAGGACCTCACGACATGTTGAAGTGATTGCTTCTTTGATCCCCTTCCAGTTGCTCTCCATAGTAGTTCCTTCTCCACTGAGTAGATCATGAAAGGTCTGGAACTTATTGCTGAGGATTATCTTGAATTTGTTGAGTTTGTCAGTATCCTGGAGAAAGGCCGTATTGAACTTCCTCCTGAACGTTTTGTTGATGCAGATATGGTCGATTTGGTTTTGTGTAGTGTGATCCGGTGAAGTCCATGTGCTTTTGTGAATGCGCTTATGTGGGAATATGGTGCCGCCCATGAACAGTTTATTGAAGGCATATAGGTTTGCAAATCTCTCACCATTTTCGTTCCTTTCTCCTAGTCCGTGTCGTCCCATGATGTCTTCATATCCAGTGTTGTCCATTCCAACCTTTGCATTTATGTCTCCCATTAGAATAGTCAAGTCCCTTGTTAGACATTTTTCAGCGATTGACTGCAGCTTGTCGTAGAACTGATCTTCAACGTCCTCATTGTAATCGCTGGTAGACGCATAGAATTGGATGATGTTCATTGTAATACCCACTTGTCCGTAGACATATTGGGTTTATCAATCGTAACTTCTATTTAAATGAATCCAAAATGACTCTATACACTGTATGTGTTCAGTTCCACTAGAATACTGCTCAGTTATATTCCCTAGACCGACAGAAAACTGAGAATGTACATATCCTTTAACAAGACTTACCACTCCAAAGCTATCATATGAAGATAGGTCGGAAGCATGGAGACTGGATCCCTAATGGCCGAGACAAATTATACGTGACCTCCTCTCACTTTTCAAAACCACAAATAACAAAGCTAAGGCACACCATGACACTAAAATATACCAAAAATACTGATTTTAACCTTCGGAATCAGAAGTTTATACTGAAAATATCGATAAACCTGAACAAATTAAACTCAAAATTTTTGTCACACGTTAAGCAAGCCTCTAGAATACTTGAACAAATGGTGAACAAACGGTTGACTCAAACGCCCACTCAGTTTAAATCTTCCTAAACTGCTTTAAGGAGATTGGATGAAACTTATAATTTAATCTCACCGTGATCTCTGATATTCGTATATTCTTTTTAACCAGGGAACTAGGGAACCGGAAATTAGGCGACCGGTGCCTGGGTCAAAATATTTTAAGGAAATTTTGTACCGGAAAAAATAACGTTTAAAATAAACAAA